TGCCCAAGATCCCGAGAGGAGAATGGAGGAGAAGGGATTGCGGCGTGACCATCCCCCCTGGGGGGTGATTTCTCGCTTTCTGTCTCTATGTCTCTCTGTCTGGCGAGCGCACGCGCCCTACAGTGAAAATCTCTCCAAAAAAAAAAAAGTCAAATAAAGGGCCAGCAGGTGGCATGAAAGTTAAGGTGCTGGATTCTCGCATGGCTGACAGTGGTTTGAGTCCCAGACTCGGTAGCTTGAAAAGCATGCCAGATGCATGTGTGCATGCATGCCAAAAATCCCAGGAGGAGAATAGAGAAGGGATCATGATATGGCCATTCCCCTGGCAGGTGATTTCTGACATTCCCTCTGTTTCTGCCTCTCTCTCTCTCTCTCTCTGGTGAGTGCACACACACTATGGCCAAAACCTTAAAAAAAAAAAAACTTAAAAAAAAAAAAAAAGAAATCAGAACACACACATTTCCGGTGAGAATGTAAATTGGTATAGCCACTTGGGAATAAAGTTCTGATATATGCTACAATGTAAGTGAACCTTGAAAACATTATGCCCAGTGCAGAAAGTTAATCACAGAGAAGCAGCATTATGTGACTGTTTGTATGACATGTCCAAAATAAACAACTAAGAGACCAAGAGATCAGTGGCTACCCAAGGCTGGGAGAGGGTAGGAAGCTGGCAGGGGGAGAGTGATGGCTAAAGAACTCTGTGATTGGGTCGGCAGGTGGTCTGGTCTAGTGGTTAAGGTGCTGGACTCCCACATGGAGGACCATGGTTCAAGTCCCTGACAGTTTGCTTTCTCATTTTCCCCTTCTTTTGCTCTGTGTTCAAATTAAAAAAAAAAAAAAAAAAAGAATTTTTTAAAAAGAACTCTATCATTATTATTATAAAAATCATTAAACTGTGTATCGTAAATGGGTAAACTATGGTAAAGCTGTCACCAAAAATAATGAGATGTTTTCAATTTATCTCTATAGTCTAGAATTTTAAAATATATATATACTACTTAAATCGCATTCAAATGAACTTTTCAAACCAACTATTTCTGGTGCCTTCTAAGTATGTTCATCACCCTGACCCCTCTAATGGTAACCAATCATGTTTTTGTTTTTTTTTTTAACTTCACTCAGGATCAACTTTGAGTTTATATTTTGCTAACCCACTTCCCCTAGATTTTCCAGTAGTTTTATTAATGCCCTGTACTCTACTACATCTTCCACGGTCTCCTCTCTCCCTATCCCTGTCTGGTCTCACCCCAAGAATCGGTTCTGGGCAAGATCTCCATAGCTTCTCTGTTGGCAAAGCCAACAGGCATGTTCCTGTCTTTCCAGAACCCTCAGTGGCATGTGCCAGTTCTGAATCTCTGGATCCACATAAGCCAGACCACCCCCAGCTCTATCCCATTGCTGAGAATCACTGCACTGGGAAAAACCAGAGACAAACTGTGACAGGTATGGGAAAAGGTAGGTTACTTCCCACCCACCTGGGGTGCTACCATCTTCTGATGAGCCCTACTGGCCCCCCTCCACGGTGACGACAGCCCAGTCTCTCTCCAGTCTGCACCTGACCCTGAGCCTCTCAGCTCTCCCCTCTGCAGTCCTCCACCCCACCTGCTCCCTACCAGCCATCTCCAACTTGGGATGGTGCCCATTCACACCAAGCACACCTACTGTGGTTTCTGTGTTAGGTGCCAGGGATATGCTAAAAAACGAGACAGAACTCACTCAGTTTCTTACCATATTCCTTTCCCTAAACCAAATGTCAAGCTCCCATAATCTTAGAAGCATCGCTGTCCACCTAGGCCCCCAAGTCAGAAAGCTGAATCAGCCCAGGCCCCCGGCCACTCCCTCATGCCGATCTCCTGTCTTGTCTTCTTCAGCAGCTCTCCTCTTCATCCCGGGGTGAAGTCTCGGTACTGCGACAGCCATTCCCTGGCAGCCCACTTCCTCCATAGGTCCCTGAAGTCTCTAGCTCAACACCAACTCTAACCCCGTTAGGCCTCACTTGCTGCCTAAAAGAACAAGCCTACACGCCTCAGTGCAGCCCTTGGGAAGCTGGCAGGCCCACCCCCACCTCCAGCACCAACTGCGTTGTCCACTCCTCAGCCTGGTTTTTGAACCCTGTCTGACCAGTGGCCACTAAGCACGTGGAAGTCCCAGCACCTCATAGCCTTCTGCTGTCCTGAAGGTAGTCTGGATGCCACCATCTCCCAGGCAGAGTCCCCGTCTCCCACCCTCTACCTATAGCTAGACTGACTGCCCTGGGCAGGGAATGTCTGCGTCTACTTGCCCCCACCTCCCCTGCAGTTCCTGTGGGCAGGTGGAGGTCACAGCTGCTCGGCCTCCTCAGAGGCCTCACTCTCCCCACTCACGGGATGGAGGAAGGAAGGGCACCTGTGGCCACTCACCCTGCGGTTCCGGTTGTGATCCATGGTTTTGAGATGCTTCTGGATGATCCCAAACTGCATGGGAATGAAAAGGTCGCAGGCTGCACAGTGGGCTGCCTCCACTTTCTTCACAAAATGCTCCATGGCGATTTCTGTGAGGGTGGGGGAAGAGAGAGGGAGGGAGTCGCTACTGGTCCCAGGTGTCTAAGCCAGATCCAGGACTTTGGGGACAGAAAATGGCAGACTAGCTTCTCAACTTGGTCCCTTCCAAGTGGGCGCAGGACCGTTCACTGACCCTCTCTGGGGAAGCAGAGCAGGGTCGTGACCCTCCACTAAGAACCGCAGGAAGGAGAGCTGAGGCCCTGCCTGGTGGGAGTGGGCTGGAACCTTCTCACCTTGGGTCAGGTCTTGGTCTCTGTAGATCTGTTGGATCAGGCCATCGAGGTCCTCCACAGTTTTTCGGAGCTCTTCTGTCTTTTTGGTTTTGTTGGTGACATACTCCTGCCACAGATACCAAGGTTCATGAGGGCTGCCCTATGTCCCCAGCGGACTGAGAAACTCAGAGCAGCCATGCCACACTCTGGGGCTCACCTGCAGGAAGTCGGCCGTCTGCTTCGGGAGCTTGGTGCCTACGTACTTAAAGTGCTCCTTGTGGAACTTGCTGTCCAGGTGGCTGGCCATCTCATCCTCGTAGAAGGTCCGGTATTTGCAGAGAGAACACACAAACTGAATCCTGCCACGGAAGGGAAAACGAGGGGCTGAGGCCGCAACAGTACCAGACACCAGTGCTGCCGCCTCACCCAACCCAGCTGCAAGCCCAGAACAGGCCTTGCTCACGGGCCTGGGAAGTGCGGTCCCAGCAGAAGGACTGGCTGGGACCGGTGGGGTTGGGAGTAGAAGGGGACAGAGAGTCTGCAGGCTGCAGTTATTGCAACGTAGGGGGCGGGGAAGAGCTCTTCCTTCCCAGAGGCAGGAGGCCGAAGCCGAGGCAGCAGCTGCTGCAACAGGCAAGGAGTCGCTGGAAGGTTGCCGGAGGGCCTCTCTACCAAGGCTGGGCAGGAGCTTGTGCACTTGGCCCAGCTGGGGACCGGAAGGAAGGATGCCCTGGTCTGAGCCAGGTGGCCCTGAGGTGCAGAATGGAGTACGCAGTCCTGAGGCAGGGCCCGAAAAGGTGCTGCATCTTCCTTCTGGGATCTGGGGGACTCAAAGGCCCAGCCCATCCTCTGCTCAGAATGCTTGGGGGTGGTGTCGGGAGGGATGGGAGGCAGGCCTGGGCACCTGCTGTCTCATCTTCCTCTTCTGAGAAGAGACCAGTCTGAGCTGGAAGAAGGGTGCCAGCCCGGCCTGCCAGAGGGCAGCCTGGAGTCACCCGGGCGAGGTGCTCTGTCTGGGCCTGGTGTCCACAGCAGAAGCCCGGGGTCTGGGGCCTGGGCCGAAGCAGGCCGCCGTGGCAAGGGGCGGAGGAGGCCAGCCGCCACCGAGGCCTCGGGGCGGGTCCCTACCTCTGCCGGACGTCCTTATCTGGGCCACGGGGTCAGCTTTGTCTGGAGAGCCCAGGGGCCGGGCGCCGGCGAGGCTGAGGAAGGTCCAGCAAGAGCAAGAGTCTGAGGCGGAGGAGGAGGAGGCAAGCGCCAGTGCGGGAGCCCTGAGGGCAGACAGAGCCGACCAAGGGGCGTGAAGGGCTCAGCCGCAGACAGGCCCGGCCTGAGAGGGCCGGCGGGCAGGGCCGAGGGCAGGCCCGGGGCTGCCACAGCCCACAGGTGCTGCCATCTCTCCTGGGCACGGCGGCGGCCTCTTGGCAGCTAGCTGGGGCGACACAGGCGCCATGGACCTTGAGTCTCTGATGAGCTGGCCCCCTCCCTCGGGGGCATCGGCCCCCAGTGTACCTCGGGGCTCCTGCTCCGAGTGACCTAACGCCGGAGCTTCTGGGCAACGGTGCCGAGCAGTGTCGGATCTCGGGCCATAGACGCCAGCGGTCGCCAGGCGGCCGCAGAGGGGCAGGGGCCGAGTGAGGCCTTGGGAGCCGGGCCTGGTGGGAAGCAGGGTCCATGCACGGCCGAGCAGGTGGTGGCTCCCAAGGGAAGCCAGAGGGCGGCGAGATGGCAGAGTTTATGGCCCTGCTCTCCTGGCGGCAGCCCCAGAGCGAGGCAGAGGCAGAAGGGTGGAGGGAAGTAGGTTACCTTTCCACCATGCGGTCTCGCTGCCGCTTTTTCTGCTTGTCCAGGCTCTTCTTGCCTGCCTGCAACTTGCGCTTGGCCTGGCCATTCTCATCCTGGGTGTTCAGCGCCCCTGTGGGAACAGAAGGGTACAGTCACCAGCTCAGCTCTGCTAAGACAAGATAGGCTCTGTGGCCTCTGGTCCAATCACCCGCCGTCCACTCAGTGGTCCATCTCAGAGCGGCTGTCCAAGCAAGGCCTCTGGCCACGAGTGGGGCTGGGTACCCTGGGCCAGGCAGGGAGCGGGTCTGGCCTAGGCCCCATGGAGCAGAGAGCACACGCTGACCCCTCCACTCTCCAGGACACCACACTCTCTGCAGAATGGGCCACAAGGAGGCTGGAAGGCAAAGACAGGCTATCTCCATGGGGACACTGACACATGTTCAGGGAGCCGGGTGGCCCTGCCCACCCCCCACCGGGCACCGCGGCAACAGTGGGCTGAGGCTGGATTTACTGTTAGGTACCTGCTGGCGCTCATCACTCAGGTGGGGGGACACGGACTCCCAACAGGGGCTGGAGAGGCGCTAAGGGAGAGGACACGCAAACCAGAGCCGTAAAAACTGCACCGAGGGTCCCAGCTCGGACAGCAGCCACGAGGACTCAGAACTGCAGGTGACTGGGGGACTGAGGGCAGGGGGCATGCCTGGGGAGCCCCACTACTGCTTGCTGCCCTCACCTGAAGGTAAAACCAATGTGCTAGGCAGGGACCACCGCCATCCACAGCCTCAGCCTGGGAAGAACTGGAGGACGGAGTGGGAGGAGGAGGAGCAAGAAGAGCCCTCTGCCGGCCCCACAGGGGAGGTCCCAAGCAGGCCATACTTCTGCAGCAATCCTGCCCTCAGCTGGATCCCTCCCACTGTGAACACCTGGAGAGCCACCCAGCACCCGGGCTCCCGGGAAGACTCACCCTTCTCCGAATCCTCTTTGCCTTCTTCTCTCCCATCTTCTTTTCCCTCCTCGTCCTCTCCTTCCTAACACACAATTTGAAAATTCAACTTTAAAATGTGTGCAGTTATTTACAATGGCTCTAACTGACTAGGCCAAGATACATGCCAACTGGGCCAGAAAACTCACGGCCTCTCGTCACTGAGGACGCAGAAAGTTTGTCCCACCCCCATTTCCCACGGGAGACCTCGCCTCTGGCTAGCCGCCCTGTGCCTTCTACCAGACAGACGCTGCACAGACAGCGCGAGTATGGCCCTGGAGAGTCCCGCCCTCCAGCCCAGCTCCCATACAGAGGATCCCAGACTGGGGCTACTTACTGCTCTGGAGCCCTTCTCCATAGCCTCAGTGCCTTCAGTGCCATCTGCAGCTTCGCCCTCAGTGCCCTCATCTGAAAGGGAAGAGGCCGAGCTCAGCCCAGGAGCCGTGGGGGACGGGGAGCAGCCCAGCGCCACCTCAGCTCACCGTTATCTGAGTCACTGTTATCTGAGCAGTCGGTCCGGGTGGCTTTGCTGTCCGGCTCATCAGGGCTACCACCTTGCTTCCTCTTCTTCTTCTTGGTCTGGGTCACAAAGCGGGAGCAGGTCAGGGGGTGGGACTCCTGGCCCTGCTTTCCGTGCCCTGGCTGGGGGCCAGAGAAGGTCACCCACACTCACCCGGAAGTCAGCTGTGGTCCAGGTCTTCCAGGTCCGCCTCATCTGCTTCATACCATTGCCGAACCCAAAGCCGAAGCGGGAGTTGCCTGGGAAGGCACCACCGCCACGCATGCCCTGGAACATGCCGTACTCAGGGATGATGTTCTGGGAGAAGAGGGAGGGCAGCCGGGAGGCACCAGGCATGCACTGGCCCCGGGCCCCCATGGGGTCTTCCCACATGCGCCCATAGCCTGAGGCCATCGGCCGGCCACTCCGGGCATCCCGGGCCCAGCCCTGGGCCCGTGGACCAAAGGTGTCGCCGCCACGCATGCGGAATTGGTCACGGTAGGCATCATACTGGCCCTCGTAGGCCATTTCCATCTCGGAGTCAAGCTCGCCGTAATCATAGCTTGACCGGTACAGGTCACGCTCGCTCAGGACGCCCCTCGAGTCACAGGCCTCATAGGAGTCGTATCTGTAGAGGTACATGGCAAGTGTCAGGGAGGGGTCCCTCCGGGTCATCACCTCCAGCGGACACTGTGGTCAAGCTCACCACTCCCACCTTCCCCACAGACCTTTCCGTCCTGGACAGAAACCACAAGTAAAAGGTTCTGGCCTCTCAGGAGCACACAGTTCTAGAGGAAGGACTCCTCTAAAGGGCTGAAGCCCTCACAGGGGCTCTATTACCCCAAGCCCAACTCCCTGCAAGCCAGGGAGAGGCTGGACCCTAAGACGGATACTGGGGAGAGGCTCTGGTCCGGCAAGGAGTCTCACTGCAGGCAGTGCCGCTGCTGGCCCACGGCAAACCTGACTGCCACCTGTGGCAGCCACAACGCCCAGGGCTGCTCGTTGGGGAGCAGAGCCAAGCACCCAGGACCCTGTGGGACATCAGGAGCCAGCACATTGAGCACTTGTCCAACCAGGCGGATCGTGACCACAGGAAACACTGAGCTGGTCTCACCCCTTCCAACTAAGGAACCCAGGCCCCCCATATTCCATCTCGCACCCAAAAGAAGGGAGACAAAATGAGAAATGTTTCCCAGGAAAAGACACTGCAAACTTGTGCAGAACTAGAAGGAATAGCTCTATCACATCCACCCTGGAGCCAGGGCAGGAGGCCATAGCCTACGTGGGTACCAAGAGAGAGCCCAGCCTCCTGCCCACTAGAGGGCACCGCAGAGAGCCAGCGGAACTGTAGTACAGCCCACTGCACTGGTGCAGAGGCCAACGCTGCCACGCCCCTCGCCCCATCCCTGGCTCCAGGCTGGGATAAAGTGCACAGAAGTGACACAAGTCAATGCCAGCAAGTCCGCTCTGCCCGCTGCTACTACTCGGTGGTCCTGGAGGCTCGCTTGGCCTTACCAAAGCTGTCAGGCCCCTCCTCACTCCACCCCATGCTAGAAATAGGCATGCCCCACTCGCCAGGGCACAAGCACTCCCAGGTCACCTCGAGTTCAGTCAACGACCAATGCCCATGGGTAAAGCTCTGGGGCAAGGCAGATCTAGGTGCGAGGCCCAGGCCCACGACACACTTGCTGGGTGCCTTGGGCCAGGGGTGTAAACCTGCCTGTACTTGAGCTTCCCTACTGCAAAATGAGGACATGTCCTCATGAGAAATGCTTCCAACAGACACAGGCTTCTAAGGTGCCAAGTGGCCAGGACGTATCAATGCCTGCCCCATTCCATATGTTGTGATGGCCAAGTTCATGGGGGTCAGCCTCCACGGCTCGTCCCACCCTTCACACCAAACCTGATCTCTCTGACCTGACACCATGCAGGATGCCAAGTCTCGAGAGAACACCAAATGGTTTCCTCAGAGAGAGGGGCTGCTGAACACTGCTCATGAGGAGCCATCCTGCGGGTTCGGCGCAGTCCGGCCAATCTGACCTTGCTCCTCCCCTGCAAGCTGGGGAGAGGCTACCCCCCACCCCGCACAGCTTAGAGGGAGACATGGGTCAGAGAAGTGAAGTCCCACAGACCTCAGCGAGAGCAGAGCCACAGCAACACCAAGCAAAGAGGGAGGAAGCAGACAGAAGCACACTGAGAGGAAGATGCTAGTGGGCAGGAGGCACCCATGGAAAGCCACAGTCCCTGGGCAGGTGCTCACTCACCTTTCTCCACCTGAGCTGTACACGCCTCCTTGCATCATGTCTGTCTCCAAGTGCTGCACCATATCTAAACGCTGGTTAATTCTGGATAAGACGGGGTCGGCACCGGCACTACCCGAGGCGTTAGGGTTTGCACTTGTGTCAGAGCTAGGCATTTCCCAAGAGTTTGAAGTGGCCATACCATACCCATAGTTGGAGGTGTTTTCCTGGCCATAGCCATAGCCGTAGCCATAGTTCTCGTAGCCTGCAGTGAGGGAGACAGAGACAGACGGAGATGGCACAGGGCAGAGAGAGGGAGGCAGAAGAGAGACAGAGACAAGAGTGTCTTCTGTCACAGGGACAAGCTGGGACCCCATGGGCCTGAGGCTGGTTGGACTCCAGTCTTCCTGAAGAAAAACTCCCATGAAGGACAAGTGGGCCCCCTGAGACACTAGCACCCTCCGCCCTGGGCAAGCCGAGCAGTGGCAGAGCAACATAACCAGTTCAATCCTGCGGAAGAGGAGAGCAATCACAGGAATGATACTTGCCTCTGTTTGTCCCAGAGTTCCAAGTTCCATATCCTATAAAAAGTAAAAGGGCAATTAGGTCTACAGTTACTTGTATATGATAAAAGTTGAATTCGGGCACCAGTGAAGTGTCCCCAGTGCCTGACTGGTTATAGAAACTGAAGTTCCCTTAACTGAGAAGCCTTGAGCTTGAGAGCATTGTGCAAAGGACCCAGGTCACTCACTACTGTGGTGCTGGCCTTCTGTGGCTCTGCACATCTGCTATTTAAGGAGCCTCCTGTTTGCAACACCCTCAAATGATGAAGTGGATTCCCATACTCCTCCCTTAAATAGCTAGAATTAGAAATGACCTCCCACCCCTAGCTAAGCACCAATTGAGAAAGAGGAAAACATGTTTCATATAGACACTGCTGTACAAGAACCTGGCAGAGTCCACATCTACTCTCAAATCATGTCACCCAAAGCACCCAACAAAGCCATCTGAAGCAGAGGAACCGACCACCCCACTCCCCAAACGCCTGCCTAACAGGGAGGGCCAATAACCCTTGAACTGTGTGTGTGCTGTGCTGGAACATACCAGGAAGGGAAGTCTAAGAAGCATTCCGAACCTGAGCAAGTTTCCGAGAGAACAGTCTGGATTACACACTAATTATGCTCTGGATCTGATCACAACATATGATAAAAATTCACTCCCTTAGGAACATGGAGTCGCTGAGAACGGACAAAAATACACTTCCTCTCCCAGAGGAGGACACAAGAACAGGTGACAGGACCAGCAGTTGGCTTAATGGCTATGTTGCTGGACCTTCCACGTAGTCGACCGTGGTTCTAGTCCCAGACCTGGCAGCTTTAACTCACGCAGGGAACGTGTGTGTGTGCCCAAGATCACAAGAGGAGAAGGGATTGTGGCGTGGCTATCCCCCCTGGGGGGTGATCTCTTGCTTTCTATCTCTTTGTCTCTCTCTGTCTTTCTGGAGAGCACACACGCCCTATAGCAAAAACCTCTCCCCCCAAAAAAAAAGAACAGGTGGCCACCTTCTCAGTGACGGTGGGACCCTCAGTCATCCCCTATGCCAGGCCACTTCTTCCGACAGATAAGACATGCTCATTCCAGGGCAGGGGGCAAAGAGTTCCATGAGAGCAACATGACCAACAACAGAGCCCAGACCACAAGGGAGCAAGACAGAAATGGAAAAAATGCACCAGGGAAAATGGCCACCACCTGATTCCTCCACAGCCCAGTGCACAAACAGAAGGTGGCAGACACCAGCCAGGAACTCCAGCTGACCACCACATTTAATAAATCAGAATCATTAAAGCACTCACAAAGCAAAAATCCTCTGAGGCTGGGAACATCCATTTGTTCATCCAGCAACTACCATCTCTGAGCAGAGGCACCGTTGAGGCTGAGTACTCCTTGTTATTAAAGGAGACACTAACACCAGAGGGCCACGGGGTAGCCAGGAGCCGGACACCACGTACAGGAACAGCAATGCAGAAGCCATTCTGACGAATAAGAAGGGAGGCTGGGGGGCTAGCGGGTGGCATGGTGGTAAGGCGCTGGTCTCCCACATGACTGGCTGTGGTTCCAGTCCCAGACCTGGCGGCTTGCTTTCTCACTTTCCCTTTCTTGCTCTGTCTCTCTCTGGTCAAATTAAAATAATAACAAATAAAAATGAATAAATAATTACTTAAAAAAAAAAAAGGCAGGGAGGCTGGTAGAGTCACATAAAGAATGACATAGCTAGACCCAACAGCTAACAAATGCCTGGCCACATGGCTGTGTGCATGAAGCTGGCCGACAGACACAAGCTTTGTGAGAAGGAGACAGGACTAAGAGGCAAAGCCAGACTTCTGTTTGGGAGCTACAATAGTTACCCCAGGCTTTAGCTGCTAAAGATCTACCAGAACTGGGCGAGGAAGGACATGGAAGAGAAGGGGAAACCAGGCATTAACTCCGCTAACACAACTTTACCATTCAAGGACAGGCAGCTGGCCTCCTGGGAGGGCAAGTCAGGGGTCCCTTCAGCAAGCACTATGTGCTACTTGCTCTGCCTGGAGCAACCCAGGCTCCTGAGACCTGTCTCCTCTGAAAGCATACCTCGACTCATTTGTATCTGAAGAGATGAGATCATGATTAACTAAGGAACATTTTTTTTAATTTGTCAGAGGGCATGTGTCCTTGCAGAATATGGGATGAGGGGAGCAAGAAAGCACGGCGAATGGCCACAATGCAATCCCTCCTCCTGCATTTCTCCATTATTTTGGGATTTGGGGGCACACACCCAACAAGTGCCTTGACGTGTTTGTCAAGCCACTAGGTCCAGAACTCAAAGTGAGTGGTCAGCCTTGTGGGATCCAATTGTCTTAACCACCAGGCCATGGGTCCCAGCTAAGGGAATTTTTAAGGACATAATTTTTCAAACTAAAGGCAAGGTAAGGAAAGAAGAGGGGAGAGAAGCAAAAAAAAAAGTGAGTATTCAAGACAACATACAGAAAAAGAAAAAACCCAGAGGACTCATATTAACTGATTTTGAGACTTACTGTCTGGTAACCAAGCCAGTGTGATACTGGATAAAGTTTAGATGTGTTTAGATCAATGGAACAAAATTAGGAGTCCAGAAACAGAACCATAATACATGGTCCAGTGATTTTCTTTTTTTTGGAAAGGTTTTTGCTATAGGGCGTGTGTGCTCGCCAGAAAGACAGAGACAGAGAGATAAAAAGCAAGAAATCACCCCCCAGGGGGGAAGGCCACGCTGCAATCCCTCCTCCTCCATTCTCCTCTAGGGATCTTGGGCACTCACGCACACGCGCCTGGTGTGAGTTTAAGCCACGGGGTCCGGGACTCGAACTGCGGTCGACTACATGAGAGTCCAGCAACATAGCCATTACGTCAACTGCTGGTCCCCATGGTCAACTGATTTTCGACAAAATGTACAAAGGCAACTCAGTAGAGAAAGAATAGTCTTTTCAATTAACAGTGCTGGAATAATTTGATGTCTGTATGCCAAGAAGAGAGATATGAAACTTGACCTATACTACACCTTTTATAAAAAAATTAAGGGACCAGCAGTTAGCGTAATGGCTATGTCGCTGGACTCCCATGTAGTCGACCACAGTTAGCGTCTCAGACCTGATGGCTTAAGTATTAGGTATTAGGTATTTTATAAATGAAGAGAAACGTGGTTTGCATGGCTCCCCTATCCTGCTCTCCCTGCCTTCCCTTTTTAATCAAACATAGTTCTAATTTGCCTATCTTTTCGATCCCCTCACTTATATATTCTGAATATAAGCCTTTTATCAGATGAGCCATTTGTAAATATTTTCTTCCAGATTGAGGCTTATCTATTTATTCTCTTATCAGAATTTGTTTATAAAGAAAACAAGTTTTAAGTTTTTTTTAAAAGAATTATTTTATTTAACCTTATTTATTTATTCATTTATTATTATTTTTTTAATTTGACCAGAGTGGGACAGAGAGAGAGAAAGTGAGAAAGCAAGCCGCCAGGTCTGAGACCCAAACCACTGTCAGCCATGTGGGAGTCCAGTGCTCTCAATTACCAAGCTACCTGCTGGTCCCGAGTTTTAAGTTTTGATGAAGTCTAAGTCATTAGTCCTTTCTTTGATGGTTCTGATTTTGTTGTATCTGAGAAACCTATGCCTAACCTACAGTCACAAAAGTTTTCTTGGGAACCAGCAGTTAGCGTAATGGCTATGTCGCTGGACTCCCACGTAGTCGACCGCGGTTCGTGTCCCGGACCCGGTGGCTTAAAACTCACGCCGGGCGCGTGTGCGTGCGTGCCCAAGATCCCGAGAGGAGAATGGAGGAGAAGGGATTGCGGCGTGACCATCCCCCCTGGGGGGTGATTTCTCGCTTTCTGTCTCTATGTCTCTCTCTGTCTGGTGAGCGCACGCGCCCTACAGTGAAAAATCTCTCCAAAAAAAAAAAAAAAAGTTTTCTTCTAAATTTTCTTTTAGGTATTTTAGATTTAATATTCATTTTGTGTTGGTTTTTTTTTTTGGAAGAGGTTTTTGCTATAGTGCACGTGCACTCGCCAGACAGACAGAGACAGCGAGAAATCACCCCCCAGGGGGGATGGCCACACCGCAATCCCTTCTCCTCCATTCTCCTCTCGGGATCTTGGGCGGGCACGCACGCACACGTGCCCGATGTGGTGGGTGGCATGGTGGTTGAAGGCAACAGACTCCCACATGACTGACTGACTACGGTTTGAGTCCTGAACCCGGTGACTTGCTTTCTCACATTCCCTTTCTCTCTCACTCTGTCCCTCTCTGGTCAAATTAAAATAAATAAATAAAGTTTGAAAAAAATAAGTACATAATTTAATAATATACCTAATACTGCATTACCCAATTTCAAAACATTTTAAATCTCCCCCTCCCTGAGACTAGCTATTAATACTTGGGGAACTTATTTAAGTCGATTTATTCAGAGACTCTTAAGGGAAGTTAGCTGTGTTGGCTCAGTCTTTTCCCAGACTTTGGTAGTAGAATAATCCATCTCAGTAACCAAGACATTAGCCTCATTAATCCCAATGAGGGCTCCTCCTTAATGGACATCCCTAGTGTCACAGAAAATGGACACCCTAGCTTTCTTGGCCATTTGGAGCTGTCATAGCATGCCAACAAAACAACACCTGTAAATCTTTGTAGGGTGGCTACTTCTGAATTAGAAAATTGTCTGCCCATCCTTGAGAAATCAATCAGGAATTCTTAATCTTGTTCGTCCATGTGTGTCCTACTAGCTTGAGATGATCGACCATGTCTCTGAAAGCCTGACAGATGCACACACTACCATGACGCTAATAGCTAAATTTCTCCTGGAACAATCCTTTCCAGGCACTCAAGATGATTCTCTGAAGTCAGATATTCTGTCAAAGAAAGTATTCCTACAAAATTTTAAAGGGTCAAAGGAATCAATTATTTGCAGACTAGCTTGCTCAGTAACACAGACAGCTTTCCCATAATAATGCCAAGAGCAAAGTGCTATTCAAAGTGCTATTCACACTGTTTTACACAAGTTTAGATTTACAAAAGCAAGACAGCATGACAACAAAGCCAAAGACAATTAAGAAGGTGGCAGACAGCATGACAACAAAGCCAAAGACAATTAAGAAGGTGGGACTACTCTCTGCCAATAGAGAGCAGAACATTTTCCTTCCCACTGGGCCCCCACACTTACCGTAATCACAGGTGGGCTGAGCACTGGTGTCTGAGTATGTCGACTGCAAAGTGGTTTCAGATCCCTGGACAAAGCCTAAACATATGCACAATGTGGTTAATCTTCTCTGAATGAGCCACAGGAAAATGACTTACAAATGACACTTCAGTACAGACTGACAGATAGGCCTTCTCCTCAGTGGAAAGTCACCCAAACACTAGATAATAAGACTTAATGAGACTTCTAGAACTTATGAACCAATGGAAAGGCAGGATATGTTTAACTTGCTATGCCAGGACTGGATAAAAGTTTTTAAACATTTAAGCCAATAACCCACTTTAATAAATGAGTACCCAAATTATCATTCAGTTCAATGAGGAAATACTTACACCAAATCACTGAAGGGTGAGCTGATTCCAATTCAAACAAGGATGGGTGTTAGTTTGAAGTGATATTAAAACAAACAATACCTCCTTCCCACCCCACCTGAATCTGAAATAGAAAACTGCTTCATATTTTAGTTTTCTTATTAAAAAAGGGGAAGGTGAGACCAGCAGATAGTGTAATGGCTACGTTGGTGGACTCCCACGTAGTCACCATGGTTTGAGTCCCGGACCTGGTGGCTTAAACTCACACTGGGCATGTGTGTGTGCGTGCCCAAGATCCCGAGAGGAGAATGGAGGAGCAGGGATTGCAGCGTGGCCATCCCCCCAGGGGATGATTTCTCACTTTCTGTCTCTCTCTTTCTAACGAGTGCATGCACCCTATAGCAAAAACCTCTCCAAAAGAAAAGGGGGAGTATATTACAACTACTTCTTAAACTTAAGTAGTTATTTGGAATCGGCACGCTTATATGAAAATAACACATGCTATTTTATTTACATATGTATATATAGGTGTACGCATATACACACACACACATAAACAAATATTAATATATACATATATAATCTTTCAACTCTCAAAATATCTCTTGACTTAAAATGAATTAGTACAAAAAAAGTGAATATCAGAAATCACTACTCTTTTAAAAAATAATTATTTAATTTTGATTGATTGATTGATTCATTTATTTAGTTTAATTTGACCAGAGAGATGGAGCAGGAAAGCAAGCTGGGACTAGAATCATGGTTGGCCAGGTGGGAGTGTCCAGTACCTTAACCTCCTCCTGCTGACCCCAGAAACTACCTTTAAAAGAAAACACACAAACTTTATTTATTTATTTAAATTTGACCAGAGAGGGGTAGAGCAAGAGAGAGAGACAAAGAGAGAACGCAAGCTGCCAGGTCCGGGACTTGAACCATGGTCATCCATGTGGGAGTCCAGTGCCCCTAACCACCACGCAACCTGCCAGTCCCCCTTTTATTTAACTTTTTTGAAACTACTACTCTTAAAGGTTAATTGCAATAGACTATGGTTAAACCTGACACTTGCTTTGAAATTACATTTTAAAATATATTTTTTATGAATCTATTTTTTTTAAATGATTTAGTGCTGAAATTACGGCAGCTACTATGAGAGGCAATACTGACCTATTCACATCAGAGCCAACTCATGACCTGAAAATTAAAGCCAGAGTCCCCAGAATAGCTTATTTATAATAGAAATGCAAGTTAACAAGTACCTTTCCCCAGGGTAGGCATTTTCCTATTTGTTGACAGACCCTTTTAAATTCATCTCTTAAGACCATGGCAACAAAGATGACAGCAACAGCTGCAATAAATGCCTGACTAGTAGGACGCTAAGACCTTTATCTGTAGGATCTTACTTCTTCCCCAACACAGCCAATAGAGGAAGAGTGGACAAGACCCCTTGCCCTATAATCCCCCAAAGTCCAAAAATATCTGAAAATCAAGTGTTCTTCACAAATAGGGTGCCAAAACTCATGGTGAGGCCAAAGTAACCTGTGGCAACATTAATCTTTTTTTATTCCATTTGGTGCAGAATTGATGTGCTTAATTACAGGGTGCTATCCCAGATGACAGTGTAGGTAGTGTGTTCTTTTCTCAAGCTAGAACTCCAAAACACAACTAGTTCCAAGACATGCAAATAAGGAGGTGTGGACCCAGCTTCATCTTCCAGAGGATGGAAAGGAGAAAACTGAAAGTACAACAGATCCAACCTTTCCTACTCTCCCTAATTAAGAAAGGTAATTCAAATAGATTCCTTCCCGGGATTCAGGACCTTTCTGAGATGCTCAAATTCCAAGCACTGATGATTAATAACTGTCCAAAAGGGGGGTCGGCAGGTGGTGTGGTGGTTAAGGCAGCTGGACTCCCACATTGCTGACCATGGTTTGAGTCCTGGACCTGGCAGCTTGGTTTCTCACTTTCCTTGTCTCTCTCTGGTCAACTTCAAAAAAAAAGTTTAAAAAATAAAATAATGACAATGAATAAACATAAAATAATTCTTTTTATTTATTTATATTTTGGGGGGAGAGGTTTTTGCTATAGGGCACGTGTGCTCGCCAGAAAGACAGAGAGAGACAGAGATAGAAAGTGAGAAATCACCCCTCAGGGGGGATGGCCACACCGCAATCCCTTCTCCTCCATTCTGGGCACGCACGCACACGCGGCTGGCGTGAGTTTAAGCCACCTGGTCTGGGACGTGAACCACGGTCGACTACATGGCAGTCCAGTGACATAGCCATTATGCTAACTGCTGGACCCAAAATAAAATAATTCTTTAAAAACAAAAAAAAAAATGTCCAAAAGAGGAGCCAGCAGGTGGCATGGTAGTTAGGGTGCTGGACTCCCACATGGCTGACTACAGTTAGAGTCCCAGACCCGATGGCTTGAAAAGTACATCAGGAGTTATGTGCGTATGTGCCCAAAATCCCAAGGGGAGAATGGAGAAGGGATTGCAACATGGCCATCCCTAGTAAGGGGGTGATTTCTCACTTTCCCTCTCTGTATCTCTCTAGTGAGTATACATGCCCTATGGCAAAAACCTTAAAAAAAAAAAAAAAA